AAAGCATCAGCAGCTGGTTTGCTGAGATGTTATGGTATCTAATGCTGGTTATCAGCTTGATTGTGAAGCATGAAGAGTTTGGTGATGTTTTTATCTGGTTCATTTGCTAGAACAGCTCACTGTTGCAAAATCTCAAGTGAGAGTGCTAATTAGCTTTTCTGTTGACCCGTGGAAGATGGATCTGTTGTTGTAGCTTGTGTCTGGAATGAGGCTGGCAGACATTCACTAGTGCCATGGCTGTTGGGTAAGTACATTGTTTAATTCTGAAGTGTGAAATATGAGGAGAAGAAACTATGAAGTTGCAACCAGGTGTCTGTATTGCCTCCTTCACCTGCCATTTGCTCAGCTGGCTTGTGTGTTACTGAGCAGTCCAAGGAGCAATTGCTGTCCTAGTGAAACAGCAGAGCTCAGATGTTCAGCCTCACTCTGCTGCTGAACAGTCCTGAGCAAGTATAAGATAAGGGTGGGTCTAGTTACTGCCTTTCCCTGTGAGAAAAGGGTGTGTAAAATCATAGGGAAGGAGGAATTTAGCACTGCTCAAAGCTCATCTAATAAGATTTCAAATACCTAAATTCAAGATCCAGTGGCAGCAATGAAAGAAAACTAAATTCTGTTATGGTTTCTATAGGCAGCTATTCTTAATTTGCTTTAAAGGAGGAGACTGAAAATCTGTGATTAAGGAAATTGTAAAGCAAGCCTTTAGTAAGATTTTCAGCGTCATGTCAGGGCCAGGCTGACTGTAGTGCAGGAGCACTTACAGCTGGGCACAAGAGCAAGCAAGGCTGCCTCACTCCAGAGCAATTCCCTGATCTGCTGGAGCACTTTGGAGTTTGGTGTTGGTGCTTGCACTGCCTGTTTCAGGTAGCGAGTGCATCTCCTGAGGCTGGGGCTGTTCACAGCACTGCTGTGCTGAGCTTCAGCTACTGTGCAGAAGGGAATGCTTCCCTCTGTGTGCCTTTCCAGAGTGCTGGCTAGTACGTAATTGCAGACTGATGAAATATTTTTACTCTTCTGAGGAGAAACCGTTGGCTTTCACTGTCATATTTGATCAGCTGGTTTAAAATGCAGTTTTCCAGTATCAGTTTGTATTACACCAAGGACTGATGAACAATTTGGTTTTACCATTTTGCTCTTAACTTTAAACCTCCATTGTTTGTGGACTTCAGAAGTTACAACTTGTGCTTTATGCAGCTTCCTCTTCAACAGTAGTGAGTTCATTTGCAAGAATCAAATATAAATGGAAAATCCAGCTGGTATGTGGATAATTTTGCCATACCAAAGCAGTAGACAAACATTTCATTTTTTTTCCTGGCATGGTGCCTCTCACTAGCAGCTCTAATTTATCACAGAAAGCTGCAAGTGATGGCATGTGCTAAACTACTTCTCCAGTGAGCTACCTTTGGGGGTTGAAAGAAAGAAGATGAGATTTTTCTATGGCCTTGCTGAAAGGAGCCATCATTCATTCTTCTCGTGGTTGTGACTTGGGTACCTAGTGCCAGATATAAGAGAGAAAGAAACCAAGGAGCTCAGCCAGGCACAGCACTGCTTTTGGGGCAATTTCCCTCACTTGAGTTTGGCCACCCTGCTCTAAATAACCTCACAGTGACCTTGCTATAAAGGCAGCAGGACCCTCAAAAGGAAAAGTGCTAAAACCCCACACTCAGTGCCAGTTCAGGGTATTTCAGCCAGCAGATTTTGATTCAGGATGCCAACTAATGATACAAAATTTAGTCTTAGGAGTAGACTGAACTCTTCTTTTTGGACTGGTTCCAGCTGAGGACTGAAGGGCATTTTTTGGATGAGGAATATTGCTTGTGCCTTCAGAGTGAGTACCACAGAGAATCAACTCTAAAGGAGTAACTCAGCTCCAAGGAATTATCTCTGGAGTAAGACACTGGCTGAACTACAGGGAGAAAATCCTTGTCAGCTGGGTAGCTGGTTCCAGTTTGAGGTTGTAATTGTCCAATGAGACTGAAGTGTTGCAGCAATAGTCCTGTAATAACCCAAGCTGCTTTTCAAAACCTGTTCTCTGAGCTGTTGAGTACAAGCAGTGCAGACCCCTTGGACAGGTGCTACTAACTCTTTAGCAGTGTTATCTGAAGAATGGCCAGTTAGAATTGCTGCAGAATTGCTCAACGTATGTTCTTTTGAGAAAGATTTTATTGCCCAAATAAATAAAATATTAATCCTGCCTGCTGCGTACATAGCAGTAATATGTTTTTTGGGGATATCCCTTCACCTAACAAGCCTTCAGTATGGAGGAATTACTCTGTTTTAGAAATACAGTGTCTTGCTGCTACCCTGGCTCCACAGGGCATCCCGAATGACCGAGGGGTCAGGGGTGAGCTGGGTTTGTTTCCCTGGAGGTATCCAGCATCTTCTCTCCAGGACCTCACAGGGCTGTTTTACACTGACCCTCATTGTTCAAGGGCAAACACATTCAGCTAGATTTGAGAATAATTTGTTTTTTCTACTTCCTTTTTTTATCTGTTGTATATGAAATTAAGTGTGTATAAAGCAAAGAGGCTTTATTTTTAATTGGCAGCTGGGAGCTCGGTTCCTGTCTCAGGTGCAGAGTACAGAGTTGCCTCAGCTCCAGTCCCCCCGGGGTACCTGCTGATGGTCTCTGCGATGTGTGTCAGCTACATCAGCCTGTTGGCGTTTCCTCTGAGGTGTGCAGGGTAACCTGAGCTCCATATTCTCACTGGCATGGGGTCGGTGACAGCTGCAGCTTTGCTGACAGCTCGTGGAAAGAACAGGGAGATCTGAAATACTATAGCCCCCAGGATGGCAAACTCCCCTGTCACAGGCCTCTGCCCAGCTCCCTGGGTCCCCAGTGATCTTTCTCACCTAAGCAGAGGCTCTGGAGGCCAGCAGGTTTTTTTTTACCCACCTTTGGGGCTGTTGGGTCAGCTGTGACCTGGGGCAGTACAGTGCTTTGAAGCCACGTGGATCGTGTGGGTGTGACAAGTTCCCCACTACCCTCCTGTTTCCCTCCCAGCTTTTGGACGGGTGTAGGTTTGTACACAGGTGAGCCAGGTGTAAAGAGGTGCCACAGGAATGCATGGCCTCCCCTGCAGCAGGGCTGGCTCCTTGCTAAGGAGCTGACAAGCAAAAGCCTGATGTTGCTGCTGGCTGGGGCATCTCAAGGTGGGGGTGGCAGAACTGAGCTATAGTAGCAGGACAGTGTGAAGTAATCTGGAGTCTTCTCCCTGATAAACTCCAGAATTCTGGCAACAATTCACCCTATCTCTGAACTCTGGAGATCCCCTTGGAATGACAGAAAATTCTTCAAGCTTTGTAGAGGGATTAAGTAGGTTAAACAAACATTGTAGGACAGGGTTAGAATTGCATCAGCCATGGCAACCCCTGTGGGCTCAGCTCCTGAGCAGACTCCCTGGCCATCTTCTGCCTGCAGATCTCATTCTTTGTAGTGTCTGATAGTGCCAAGGACTTATATCGACCCCAGTTCCTGAACAGAAATGGTCCCCAGATGCTGTGTGCTCCTGGAGGTCAGGGCAGGACCCAGGAAACAGCTGTCCCTGCAAACAGGAACAGCACAAAGAAAATATTTGATTTAGACACTAAGAGGAACTAAGTAAAACCTTTGATCTCAAGAGTTTCCTGTTTGTAGAGGAAAACTCTTAGGTCTCAGAAGGGGAGCAGGGGGTCTGAGCAAACCCCTTCTGCATACAGGGGACCAGAGTAACATTTTGTGTTCTTTTGTGATTACAATGATCTTCCAGGGAGCAATTTTCATCCCTGATGTGATGACAAGGGAAGATGGGTCTAAGTCTCTGTGTGTGTCCTTCCTTGTCCCTTTTCCACAATCTCTGCTGGGCAATGTGGTTTGTGTTAAGATAAGATGAAAACATCGGCAGGTTTTGCAGGAGGAGCTCTCTGAATGCTTGTATGATTAATGTATTCCAGAGATGGGGGAGCTGAACTGTTTGTGATTGACTGTGGTGCACATCGACCTGCAAAGGGTATAAAATGCTGCTGGAGTCTGGGCTAACCATGCAAACTGCTCTCCCAAGGTCACAGGCAGCTTCTGGGTGGTGTTTGTTATCCCCACCCCTCTTGGGGACACCTGCAGGGTATGTCCAGCCCGAATGCAAGGAACACACAGAATACTCACTTTTGGAGGAGTAGTGAAAAGCTGTAACATCTGGTCAAATACAGAGATAAAATTCTAAAGCAGCTCCAAAGTTGCCTTATAGCTTTGTAATTGTGAATTCTGCAAGGTCAAAGACCGTAAATCTATATGTTTCTAGCCAAACCTGAATATTATAATCCTTTAGACAAATACTGTAACCAAATCTGAGATTTGGTTTGAGCCACACCAAGATTTCTCTGAGAAGTTTAGAAAGTGAGTGGGTCTCACTGAAGCTTGTGACTCAATGAGAGGGACCATTCCTGTGTATACCATATTTTGTAATAGATGGTAGAGTTGTTGTTTAGATACTGCATTTAAAAACTGTATTAACCATGAATCACCCACGTAATCATTGTGTCCTACTCCTCATGTCTGGCCAAGAACCTTCCCTTGACCACTCTGTTACTCCTGGGCTGCACAAAAACCAGCATTAAAAGATGACTTGAGCACATGCACAGCCTTGGTCTGCTGGTGCCTCTGTTTAGCAGGTGCTTGTGCCTCCTGGGGCTGGGGGAGATCAGCACGAGTTTTGCCCTGTGTCTCTGGGAATGTCTTCCCTTCAGTTTCGGGGATGGCTGAGCGTGGCTGGTCAAGGCCCGTGTGGGCGCTGGGGTGATGCCATGGCTCGGTGACAGGATGGCAGGCACTGGTGCGGGACCTCTGCAGCCAGCCCGGCCTGGGGCACCCTGCAGTGCCCGTTCCCTCTGCTGGGCACGGGGCCAGCACAGAAATGCCCGGGGAGATATCCCAGGCGCCAAGGCCCATCAGCTGCCCTGTCCATCTTTAGCTCGGGCTCCGGTTACAGCCGCCTCCCCGGCCGCCTCTAAAGATAGGCAAAGCCGCCTCGCAGCGCCTGGGAGCAGCGGAGGGGTCCGGGCAGGGATAAAGCGGATGCGATTTCTGGGGAAGGAGTGAAGGACACTGCGAACACGCCTGAGCTATGGCATTGCTGTGCTACAACAAGGGCTGCGGGCAGAGGTTTGATCCCGAGCACAACGCCGAGGGTGAGTGAATTCGTGTGCCGGAGGGAACGGGAGCTGTGTGCCGCTCTCCCGGAGCGTGGCCAAGCCCAGCGCAGGCAGCACATGTGGCAGGAGCAGGCTCTGGAGCTGCTGCCTGTCGCAGGTGGTTCGTGGACAGGACTGCTTCTCCTGAAAGCTTTTGCCCCGTTTTCCCTTTTCAGATTCCTGCCTGTATCACCCAGGTGTCCCCATTTTCCACGACGCCCTGAAGGTGAGTGGGGCTGCAGCGGCAGGGAGTGACCTTGTCCCCAGCAGGATTCCCACACCTGACCAGCCTGTCGTATCCTGGTGTCTAGGGCTGGTCTTGTTGCAAGAAACGCACAACGGACTTCTCCGAGTTCCTCTCCATAAAGGTGAGTGACCTGCCAGCCTAAATGCACCCACTGTTCCTCTATCCTTTCCTTCTGGCCCCTGTCCAGTCCTGTCCCATCCCTGTCCTTTTCCCCTGCCAGCCAGGAATTTGCTGTCTTTTTCCAAGGACCCTCCAAGCAAGGGTGCTGCTCCCAAAGTGCAAGGTCAGAGCCCATCTCTGCAGGACACTGAGCCACCACATAATGGAAACTCACTGAGTTTGGGAACAGCCACCAGCTGAGGAGGACAAAGCAGTCATCAGGCTTATCTCTGCTGCTTAGGGATGCACGAAGGGGTTTCACAGCAAGGAGAAGCCCCCTGAGCCTTCCAGCCAAGAGAAGACCTCAGATGAACCAAAGGCCAAACCAGTGAAGGAGCTCATCGTCCAAGGACCAAAATCAGCTGAGAAGATGCTGCGGGAAAGACCGAGGTGAGATAGGCTCAGCTAACAATCTTGTCCTGCTGTGTCACTTCTGTGTGTGTCCTGCCCTGCTGCTCTCTCAGGAGAGGCAAGGACACTTAAATCGCAGAAAAACCCACTTGGCCTTTGCTGCTGCTGCTGTTTCCCAGCTCTGATGAGCCAAGACAACTGCTGCCAATTAAAGTATCCAGGTCTCTGGAGCAGGCACTGGAGAAACTGAACATGTCCTCTGAGGACAAGACGCTCGAGAGCAGTTGTACAGGTAGGGACAAGCTGATGGATGGCACCAGAGTTTCATTCAGTGAGTGCTGCATGTTCATCTACCCGCAAACCTGCACCGTGGAGGCACACTGGGATGGTCTGTGCTCAGCTGGGGAGCTGGCAGAGAGCTGGGGGAGGATTTGAGGGCAGGCATGGGCAGTGTGTGTCCTGGGTGAAGTTGTGTTGCTCTCGCAGGTGAGGAGGCTGGCCAGGTGAGAGCTGGCACCACGTGCAAGAACACAGCCTGCAAGGCGGTGAGTACCAGCAGGGTCCCATCTTTACCCTCCTTGTGGCCGGGAGCATTACAGGTCCAGATTCTGGGCAGGTATCAGGCAGTGCCCACGTGCTCCATATTCTCATCCCACCCTGGGAGCAGCCACCTCTGTCACCTCCCACCCACTTTCCTGTAAGAGGCTTCCAGATTGGTGGCACATTTGTGTTTCACTGCCGCTGATTGCTTGCAGTGAAATACAGCGCATATTCAGGATTGGACACACAGGCAAAAATGCATGTGGAACAATTCCCTCCTGCATTGAACTGGTGCAGCACAGCCCAGTTTCTCTCTTGCCCAAGGCTGCCTTGTGGAGCACTGCCTGCCTTGAAGATGAGTGGGAGGGATTGAGCTGTGACAGGGATAGCATGCTTGGAAACCAGCAGCAAGGGAGTGGGGAGCAAAAGGCAGGAGGCAGAAGAGGCCATAAGGCTGACATGCTCTGGCAAGGAGGGGAAAGGACAGCAAAGACAAACCACCCCTTGCACCTCAAACTGAGTTTCCGTGGTGTCTAAACTTGCCCGCTGTCCCTGTGTTGCCAAGCCCTGGGCTGGGAGTAGGCTGTGTTTGGGAAGGGTACATAAGGGCTGCTGGCAGGGGTGACACTGTGGTCGTGGCAAGGTCAGGGTGGCTGCCCTGCCAGCAGGGAGCAGGGACGAGTGCTGGGCTGATGGCTGGGCATGGCCCCAGGGTGAGTCTTCACAGGTGCCGGACCTGGCAAAAGGGTGATGTTGGGCATTGTGCTGTGCCCTCTACATGGAGGGGCATTGATGAGTGAACACCTGTGTCACATCATCCTGTGCCAGAGACACGGGCAGATCTTTCCTCTGCTTCTTTTTCCACAGATCTACCAGGGCCCAGAGAGCAACACTGAGGTCTGTACGTTTCATCCTGGCGTTCCTGTCTTCCATGAGGGGTAAGAAACAGCCCTTTGCCAGAGAGCAAACTGACCGTGCCACAGGCTGAAAATGCTGCATGGCAAGGCTGTGTGGCCCCAGCAGCACGGCCCCTGCAGTTGTGGGCGACACCCCACAAGGGGACAGGTGGGCAGGGGCAGCTTCTGGTTATGACCCCCTCTCCCTCCCCAGCCTGCTCTGGTCCCTTCTTCTGCTCCTGACCCCACTCAGGTCACCCTGCTCTCCTCAGGATGAAGTACTGGAGCTGCTGTGGAATCAAAACCACAGACTTCAGTGCCTTTATGGAGCAGCCGGGCTGCAGCTGTGGGTGTCACTGCTGGACAGAAAAGAAGGTAAGGGGCCTCTCAGCAGAGACAGTTCATGTGAGCAATTGGCATTATTGGCATTTGAGAGTGCTCCTTCCCTTGCTCTGCATTCACACAGGTTTCTGCATTTAATTGTCTTAATATTCATAATTGCTGACAGATGAGTGCACAGGGTTTGAATGCCTAATATTCCCCCTTCTGCCCTTTAAGATGCTTCTCTGCATTCACAAGATCTGTCAGCTCTCACACCCAATGGGCAGATGTGCAATAGAAATCTAAACAAGGCAGGACCTGACCCTGGACACAGCATAGCCAGCATTGTAGGCTGCCACATAGAGACAGGTGGCTGAGCACATGAAAAGTCATATCAAAAAAACCCAAAGGCTTTGACAGATGATTGACAGATGACAGATAAATGAAATTGGCTTTAACAAAGCTTTTCTTCTGCAGCTGCTTCTCAGGAGGGATTTCATCCACATACCAACATGGTGCTGTGGCAGGGCAGTGGGGACAAGATCTCAATTCGCAATACTGTGTCTGTAAATTTCCCCAGGAAAGTTCTTGACTGGAAACAAGCTTGAGCTGGGAAAGTTGCACCAAAGCAGCCCTGAAAGTGCACTGTGTTCCTCTGAGTCAGCACTGCTCCCAGCAAACCTCTCTGAGCCCAATCTCTTCTTTGTTCTGGAGCAGAAAATATATCCTGAATGTAAAGGAGGCTGCTGTGAAGGAACTGTGATGTTGTGATGCAGATGTTTCATGCTAATTGTCACCTAAATCTCGGCCAGACTCCTCCTGGAGCATTTCTTTGGCTGGCAGTGTGGAGGCCTGCAGGGGCTCTGTCTCCTTGTGATGGTCAGATATGAGCCTGCTGGGGACATAGGCCTGTCAGTGCCTGTGGTACTGACAAGCTGGACAAAGGTGAAACATGCTCATCTGACTACCAAAAGTAGCATGGTGGCATGATCCCTGTCCAGTAACAGCCCCTGCATTGCCCTCCAGGCTGAGTTTCCTGACTGTGCACACCACTTAGGAGCTTGGGTACAGCAGAGTGACTCTGGAACTAGAAGGAGATGTCTCTGATCTTAGAGTACCCTGAAGGAACCCCAAGCACAGCACAGATGTCCCATGTTACATGGGACAGACAGCATGGCAGGGACTGCCCACCTTTGCATGAACCACTTCACCTCAAAAACCTGCATGAAAGGCAGGGTTTGTTCTTGCTTAGCCGGTGCCAACCTGAAGTAACCAGCACAAAGGAGAAGTGTCAGGGAGCATTCTCTGGCTCAGACATCCCCACTGTTGGGGCGGTGCTGAGCCCCAGCAGTGCCGTGATGGGTTCCTCTCCTTGGCAGGACAAGAAGGCAGTGCTGTGCCGGCAGGACTGGCACCAAACCAGCAACCAGGTGGTGGTGACAGTCTATGCCAAGAACCCCCTGCCTGCCCTCAGCAGTGTGAAGGCCAATCGCACCGTGGTGAGTGGGGTGGGGGTGTGCTCTCTCCAGGCCCACCTGAGTTTGCAGACCCAGGAGTCAGCTGTGTGCCAGTGCTCTTTGGTGGCCTGTTGTCCTGTTGCCACAAACAGGGCTGGCACTGCTAACCTGCTATCCCTGAGCTGAGAGGCTGGTGGCCTCACTGCTGCATCTGCCCAGCAGCTCTGGCTTTTGGCTTCAATTTGCTGGCTTTGAGTTCCTTGACCTATGACAGAGGTGAACCTGTCATGCTCTGAAAGGAGTGAAATGTAGCCAGGTGCTGAGGGGATCACCAGACCATTATACTGGAGCCAGGATGTGGGATGCAATGTGGTGCTGAAAGTCAGCTGCACTGTCTGGGGGAAGAGCTCTGGCAGTGCTGTGCTACCCTCTCAGATAATTCTCTGTTGATCTTTCAGCTTGAGGCTCATGTCATCTTTGAAGGAAATAAGATTTTCCAGGCAGAACTGGAGCTCTGGGGGGTAAGATCCTGTTTGCTTTGCTTTCCCTGTTCCAGCAGTCTGCATGGGGCTGGGCTGCAGTTCTGTGAGGCAGCCTGGGTTTTTCATCCTGGGCTGGATTGCCCAGATACAGGCATTTAGGGCCATCTCTGCTGGGAAATGCCTTAGGGGTTGTGAGGAGGCTGAGGTGGCTGCACTGATTGATCCAGGGCTAAGGTCAGAGGTGGAGATCACTGCAAGCCCTATGGGTGTTCTGGGTTTGGTCCCAGGCTGCCCCAAATGTTCTTTGGCGTGGCAGGTCCCCGTCTCCTCCACAATCCTGCTGTGAGTTGCAGGCAGGCTGCGGTCTGAGCGATGAGACTGATTTTTCAGCTGCTTGCTGACTGGGGAGCAGCAGTGAGGCTCAGGAATTTGCATGTGCATTTCTTGTCTGTATTTGTGGTGCGTGCTGGCCGTGCCTGCAGGCAGCGGGGCTGGCAGGTGTGGGTATGGCTGTGTGGCAGCACCGCTCGCTGCTGGGAGCAGCTGCGAGTGTGGCTGAGGCAAACTGAGCTCTCCTCAGCCCTGCAGGAGCGCTCTGGTGCTGCTCAGACATAACGTGAAGCTCAGCTCAGCTCAGCTGCAGCCCTGGCTTCTCCTGGGACAGGAGATTTCTCCTATAGCAGGGCTTTGCCAGAGGGGGAAGGCCAAGCGTGTGCTGCCTGCCCTCCCCTGCCCGGCTCACTGCGCCTTTCCCTCTCTCTAGACCATTGATGTAGAGAAGAGCTTTGTGAGCATGGTCCCAGCCAAGGTGGAGATCACGCTTTGCAAAGCCAGCCCTGGCTCCTGGGCCAGGCTGGAGCTCCCCCAAAGCAAATTGCAGCCCTGTGGTGAGCAAGAGAAGGAAGCTGCAAACACAGAGGAGCCTGGGGCTGTGCAGGAGGAGGACTCTGATGACAGCTTGAGCTGGTCCGAGGAGGAAGATGAAGAGTTGGAGATGGGAACACCAGCTATGATAACATCAAGTAATTGATGGTCAAGTGCTGCAGCAGCTGAGCATTGCTGGTTTCTGAACTGCTGGGCATCTTGGCACCAGCTCCAGAAGAGCAGACCTAGTCCAGAACTGTGTGCAGGCTGCACCATGGCCTCTCCTCGGGTCAGAAGGGACAATTAATAAACACCCAGAGCAAAGGCTGCCCTCTGAAATCCATGATGGGCGCTTAAGAAACATCAGCAGGCAAAACCCCGCCTCTGTCACTTCCTCTCATGTGCCTGGCTGGGGCAGGACTATTGCCCTGATTTTTAAAAGTGTTAAGTTTTCTTTTATAGTTCTTTTGAGAGTTTTAAAGTTCTCATAAAACTTATTTAGCTTTCTTATAATGTTTACATATTTCTACCGGAGTTTGCACACACTGTTCATGTAAATAATGATTGTTTTGCATTCTTTGTGGGAAGAGAGAATTGATGGACTGTTGGTTTGACCAGTGTGGTTGGAGAGATGATGATTTCATCCTCCAATCCACTGTCAATTTTGGAATTTTATATATTGCGAGGTTGGAAATAAAATTAGCTCTTTTTCTTTCTTGAACTCACCAAGCTTCTGTGTACTCATTTCGTGTCCGATAGCGACACAGAGCAACAGGAGGAGTCTCTGTGCCTGCACCTTCGGTGTCTGCGGGGACTGGGTGTCATAGCCCAGCACCCTCCCTCACCCCGGCATTTCTGGGGGTGGACACAGCCTTCCCTGCCGCTTCTGGGGGTGCTGAAGCCCGGGCTGAGCTGGTGTAAGCTTCGGCGCTGGGCAGCCGGGCCCGGCGGCTCCTGTCGCGGCCAGGGGAATGTCACGGCGGCCGGCAGCTCCAGCGGAGCCGCGGCGTTCCGGCCTTTAGAGGCGCGGGGCTGCCGGAGAGCAGCGGGCGCTCCGAGCGGGGCCGGGCCGGACTGGGGCCGGGGATCCCCGCGGGAGCTGCGCTCGGAACGCGGCACGGCGCCGACCGGAGCGTTCATCCTCGTGAAAAACCCAGCAGTCTTCTGCCACAGCGCCGCTTAATTGGACAGTCTCGTGTAGAGAAAGCAAACACTCCATTTTGCAATTCTTTCCTTTTGCTAGCATTATCTTTATTAGAGATATAGTGTCCTTATTAAGAATACATGTTGCGTATTTGTGTCTGTGCACACAGACACGCGTGCGTATTTCTTCTTATGGGTTTTGAAGCGAATCTACTGAGGAACCATCCAAAGTCAGACCAAACCCCCCCGCTCAAGACACATTCGGACAACGCATAATTACAAAATAACGAATTTAGCATCAGCAGGACCATAGGGGGGCGGCTGGCGGGGCTGTATCAGAGCATGGGAGCAGTACAGCGCGGCCGCAGACCGAGGAGATGCGATGCCCCGCTCCGCTCCGCTCCGCTCCCACCTCCGCCCGGGCCCGGGGCCGCTCCCGCCGCTCCGGCCGCGCCCGCGGCGGCGCCCCCTGGCGGCCCCTGGGGGAGCGGCGGCGCGCAGGGCGCGTGCGCGCGGAGGGCGCGGCCGGGCCGAGGGTCCGCGGGGAGCAGCGGCGGCCGCGGGGCCGCGCCGGAGGTGAGCGCGGGGCGGCGGCGGCGGCGGCGGCGCGGGGCGGGCGGGGGCGGCGCGGGGAGCCCGCGGGGCGGGCGGGGCAGCGGCGGGCGGCGGGGGAGCGGGAGCGGCCCCGGAGGGCCCCGCGCGTGGCCGCGTGTGTTCCCGCCCGGCCGTGCCGGAACATCCTCCGCGCCCGGCCGCGCTGACAGCGGGGCGCGGCCGCGGCCTCGGCCGGCCCGGGCGCGGGCCCCGGCCCGGGGAGGCTGTGGCGGCACCTGTCCCGGCCGCGGCGGGCTGCGGGGCAGGGCGGGGCAGCCCGGGGTACCGCGGCTCCGCAGCCGCGTGGCGCGTCCTTCGCGTCCCGGGGCTTTGGGGAGCGGGAGGCGCGCCCGGCCGGGCGGTGCGTGCGGAGGTGAACGGGCCGCTCGGGCCCGGCGATGCCGGGACGCGTTCGGAGCGAGTCTCTCTCTGCTCCCGGCGGGGAGCGGGAGCGGCAGCGGCCCCGGGCAGGGCAGGTCGCGCTTTCCCCTCCCCGCAGTGCGCCGAGGTCGGGTTGGGCTGCTCCGACGCCAGCGCGATGCGGATCCCTAGCGGGGGCACCGAGACCAATTTAAGGCGACGTCTGCGCCAAGTGAGTGTCATAAAAAGTTGGCACAGGATGAGGTAGCCCTTGGGAAGGTCCCTTGCTTCACTGCTGAGAGGGAGGGATACGTAAGGATAGGAAGGTTGGATTTATTCTCCAGAAACTGGCAAAGTGCTGTTGCAGGAAGAGTAGTGCAGGGTGGTGACCTAAAACACTCTGAGGGGTGACAGGTAATGTCTCATTTAGCAGCTGCCAGGGAGCTGCCCTTCATCAGCTCAGTGGTTCTTTTCTGCATGCTGTGAACTTCCATTTTTATAACAACCTGCACTGAGTTCCTGTTTAACCTCAAACCCCAAGAAGCAATGCTGCTTTTTATTTGTTCTGAACTTCTCTCTTTCTCTTTTTTCCCCTGTGTTATTTTCTGCTTTTGTTTGGTTTTGGTTGTTTTTTTTTTTTTTTTTTTTTTTTTCCCAGGAACCAGTGCGTAATCAGTATTGCTTTATTCTTTATAAACAATTGTGATTCTCACCATAATTACTCAGAGTTATAAAAAAGCTTTAAATGCTTTAATTTAAAATTTTAATTTTATGTGTACCTTATGCCTGCAACGTGTGTCCTGGGCTGGGCGTGCAGTACTTCTTGTGGCAGCATCATTAGATCTTTGCCGCAAGCTCATTTTTTGATTTTTAAAATGTTCACATTCTCTTCCGTGTAAGATGTAAAATACATTACTTGAAGGCATACTTTGGAGCCAGTTTGCCACTGTTCACCAGCACAGTGGTTTTTCTGCATGGAATTCAAGATTATGAGATATATTTCAGATTAATATTTCAATTTTAAAAACTTCTAAATATTATTCATAGAAGGAACTCCAGAGAGATCCTGGAAAAACTACAAAATCTGCGGTTTGCAATTAGTAGGAGGAAGCTGAATGTGTGGTTTGATTTGGTTATGTGATGAGGCTGTGATTCTTTTGGGGCCCAAAGTATTTTCACACAATCTGGTGCCGTGTAAAGATTTGTACCTTTACAGGGAATATTTTTTTACTTTACATGCCAGTATGTGTAAATCTGATGAACTGCTGAGAGACTCCTTGACTCTGGCAACTTTTGCTCGCATTTTAGAGTTGCAATATACTTGATGCAAATGAGACTTGGCAATTGTTGCAGTATTGTAGTGCATGAGCCATGATAAAATACACACAGAGTCCATGCATTAACTCCTATCTTAGTCATACCAAAACTCTTTGAAAAAACTGGTATTAATTGAGCAAGTGCATTTTGGTTTGTTTTTGTTTGGGGGTTTGTTTGTTTGTTTTGGTTTCTGTGTTTTGTGTTTTTCTGTTTTCATTTGGGGATTTTTGTTTGATTTTGTTTCAGTTTTGGTTTTGGTTGGGTTTTGTTTGGTTTTTTTCTTTGTTTATTCTTGTTTGTGTTTTTATTTTCTCCTTACCCCTGCCCTCTCCCTCCCCCTTCTCCTCAGTGAAATTTGGGGGTGGAGGAGGAGGAATCAGAGAAGTGCAATCCAAAGAAAAGCGTGGAGGGGCTTTTTTTTTTTGAAAGAAGCTTAGATTTTCGTGGTGTAACCTTGCTCTTCATGTACAGCAGTGGCTTTGTTACAACTGAGACTGCCAGTAAATGCCAGGTGACAAAAGATGGTAGGACGACATACTAACAGTTTTTTATTTTTCTTTTTACCTCAAATAGGAATCAAGAATGCTTAAACTGGATTTATTCATCCTGCAACGTGCTTAAGACGCCTCTCCACAAAACTCTATGTCTGAGGTACTGTTTGTTTCTTTTAGCCAACAGTAGTGACTAAAGCCTTGTCAGAATCTGTGAAAGATGGGAAGGACATGGTTATTAACTTTTTATAGCTTTTGATGAACTGACTGTGACCTCCTCCCCCTGGGACCTGTGCAAGTTGCTTGGATCACCGAGGAGGTGAGTTAGTGAGTGTGGGCACAGCACCCTGCAGCCCTGGCTCCTGTTCTTACACCTTTGCTGTGCTCACCATCAAAGGGTCACTTGTGTTTAGATAAACTGTGAAAGGTCCCTGTCTTGATTAATCTGTGCCTCTGTGTGTGGTTGCAGGAGGAAAATCCAAGTTTAATACTCTTCAGCTTTTGATTATGGCAGGATATGTGTCACATTAATACACTTGGGATCTGGATGTCTGCTTGGGTTTGTTTGCACAGAGGGCTGTGCAGCTGCACCTTGTCACAGCGTTATTGTGTCAGCTGTGCATCTCTTTCATGAGCTTCTGCCCTTTGGAAATATTAATGATCCATTCAATATCTTGGATTCATGGAATGTAAGGTGTTTGATGTTTGGTCACTAATATCATTGCTCTGCTATAAAATTTGGAGTATGAGTGCCTGTAGTAAGAAGTTTGTGTAGGTGAGTTGCCAAAATACCTCATGCAGAAGACTTCATTTTCACTGTAGATTCCTAAGAAAAATTGCTTATGTGTGTTTCATCCCTGGGGAAAAAATATCTTTAAATGAAACCAATTTCAGCCTAATTTGACAGAGGTAGAGGTTTTAAAAATATTATTTGAAAGATTTTGAGGGGTTTCTTTTATTTCCTAGAAACAACTTCTTGTGTCAGAAGGCATGAAGGGCTTTCTAGCACTGGCACTGAAGGAGCAACCAGCAAGAATTGCACTCCTGTTATGTGCTTGGGAGCTGAATTTATAGGCAAAGAGCTTGGGAGAGAGCAAGCTTCCTCAGTTCTGTTCACGTGGAGCCTGGCTGCTGGACTGCACAGTTCCTGCTGTGCTGCTGAAATCTGCCTTCCCTTGTGGATTTTTTTCCCTCTCTGCAGGCACTCAGACTGTTGGAGTTTTGTTTCTCTTGCAGGTAAATGGCAGGACAGAAAGTGGTGTGAAAACTTTGAGAGGCGCTGAGAAGTCCAAGTAGGTCATTCACTGCTGAAGGATATGAGGGATGAGGTCTCCTATTTAACTTTTACTGCTCTTTCTTGGCACGAATTCTGAAAGCCTGGCACTTCTCCATCCCTTTGGCACTTGCCTAAAACAATGGCAAGTAAGCTGAGCTGTTGTGGGATAGTAACAGAGTCTTGATTAAATTGCTGAGAACTCCTTTCTCTTCCCTGCTAGGCCTGGTGGGTAAGCTGTACATGTGAATTAACTCCTTTGCATGGGTGAGGATGGTGTAATATATTTAGAATGGCCCTATCCACCCAGTTCTTTGTTGAAAGTTCCTGCCTGACTTCGTGTTTCAGGCAGACAGAGTGAATTGTCTCTGATCTAGTTTTTGTTACTGAAAGTTGAGTAATTAAATTGTTGAGATTTCTTAATTTCTGCCTGCCCCTGGTAAAGCAGGATCTGGTTCTCCAAAACAGCAAGAGCTTGATCAAATGTGATGGCTGAGCAGAATGACACAGCTCAGTACAGCTGATTTTAGCTAAATTAGAGAGTTTTCTGCTCAGTTCTGGCCAAAATGGGGCCGTACCTAAACTGTAAAGAGAAGGAAGGAAGAGCTGACAAACTCAGTGAGAGAGTGAGTTTATCGGAGAGCAATATCAAAGCTAAACTCCACCTAGCAAAGAGGCATCTGATGTTAGCAGAGCAAAGGCAGAGGCACGTCCTGCTAAGAAGTAGTTCTGCAAAAGGGCTTTAGAAGTGTAGGAAGTATAAAAAGCATAAATCTAGAAAACTACACCAGGATCCAGGTTCCTGTTTTCTCTCTGTTTTTTGTCACTGTATTCTCCCCTTTCTCAGCGAACAGGGAACTTCTCTTCAGGTGGATTGAAGGGAAGGTCTAGAAGTTGTTTCTCTACCACAAAAAAATCTTGATGCAATGTGAAGTTATTCTGTGTGTGTGTTCCAAGTAGTGAATTTCCCCAGCAAATGTTCGTCTGGAGAGCAAACTGGCCATGTTAATGATACCAGAAAATGCTTAATTAGGTCAGAACAGGAGCAGCTCTTCAGATGATGTCTTGACATGTTGACTGAAATCTTGCACATTCCAGAGGAAGTGCCAGGTGTGCAGGCAGAGAAGTCAGACTTAGCAGCATCTTCTGAGAAGGAAACTAACCCAAACAGGGAATGCCAGTTTTCAAATTCAAAGTCATTGATGGACAAAATAGAAATAACTCTTATCTAAGTATTTTTGCGCAACACTTCTGTGTGGGGTGATTTGGTGTGGTTTTTTTTTTTTTTTTCCTAGTTGCTTTTAAAAAAATTATTATTTAATTTGATAATTATTCCCATTCTGCTGTAACTGCTAGAACCTCAACTGTAATAAAAGTCCTTTCTCTGCAAGGACTAAGGAACCTGGAATACTTCTCACTACTTTGGATTTTCTGTTCACTTGTTTCTCTTGCTGTGTAACCTTTCAATTTGGCTTTGAAGCTTGTGCCCAGCTTTCTGTGTCTAAATTTTTTTTTTATGTATTGACATGTTAGTCTGTGTTTTTGTTTCTTTCAGTTCCTGTTACTTGTCATATGTGGAGTTTTTCTTTCTAAAGTTTCCATAAAAATTCTTTTGAAGGTCACCAAAAAAATCCCAAAGAAACCCTAAACCAATTTTCCTACTGTTGGTAATATTTGATGGTAATTTTGTTTTTGGAGGATGGGATTTTTTTTCAATGTATATTTTTTTTTCAATATATATTTATATTTAGATAGCATGCAGTGCTAAATTCAAGGGTGGATAAGAAATAGGATTTTTCAATACAAATTTGAACCCAGGCTTTTTACTACCTTAATAGGAGTTTTATTGTGGGCAAATTGTTTACTAAAAAAATAATTAGAGATTTCATACATTATGACTTATTAAATACATTATTAAATATGTGGATTTAATAGAAAAGACCTGATTGGGGGAATATTAGTTTGCTTGGTTATGACTTAAATTAAAAAACTCTTTGTCTTCCATATATAAATCTTTAACAAAACTACCCTTGCTCACAATTTAGTTTTCTGGAGTCAGGTACCTTCTTTTTACTCTTTACTTTTTGATTAATTTATCTAAATTTTGTGTTTCAATACATGGAATGTGTATCCTGGTGTGTGTTTGTTTTTCTGTATTGCATATGCCACACACGATTCCTTTTAGCTCAGCCAACCTCCTTTAAAGGGGCCCTTCAGAGAATCATACTTAAAAGCCTACAAGCTCTTTAGCTGTGTTTGTGTAGTTAATACTTTGCCCAATGCCTTGGCAGGTTTGCATTGGGTTATTTCCCACTGCAAATGTTGCTCTTCTAAAATCCAACTTTTAATTGGAGGTAATTCAAGGTATTAATGCCGTGAAAAGAGCATTCATGTTTCAGGCTTTCTTTGTTACTTTATTACCGATTTCCAAATTGCATGTGTAGTGACCTCTTAAATAAAACACCAACAAATTAATCTTTGAGTAACAGAGTTTCACTGGACATTTTCAATCAGATTGTGTTAGCTGCTGATGATCTGGCATGCACGTGGCTTGGGAGTTTATCCATTTGGGAAGCTGTGTTGCCTGAGGGTGCTGGTGTGGTGATCCTCCAGCCAGTGCCGTCATGTGCAGCTTGGGGATACCCTGTCACTCTGTGCAGAGCTCTGGACAGAAGTGCATAGAGATGGAGAGATGTAAGTCCTTGGGGGAGCTTGTTTGGCTTTTAAAGAGAGATCTGTTTACAAATGTTTGCAATTTGTTTATTTTAGAAACTAGGGGTTGGGTATATAAAAGGCTTTGTGTATCATCTGGTTCTTCATGAGACTTTTGTTGCTGACTTAGCTCTGCCATCTCTGTGATGTCACTTGTTACTGACTGGTCAAAATGAATTGCCTGTTGCACAGATAGTTCATTTGGGGAAAAAACCTTTGCTCTGGAAGCAGTGGTGTTGATCACCACTAAGGTTTCTGGCACAGCATGTTCTGGTACTTCAGGGGTTTGATGTAAGTGCAGGAATGAGCTTTAAAACCTGCCCTGTGCTGCAGTCCAGCCAGGCTGTGGTGCAGTAGCAGCACAAGGTGGTTCCTTCCCACGATGTGTGATTTCCATGGTATCTGTAGGTAGGTGCACTGATGCTTCCTTAAGCACTGTGTGTTGTAGTGACCAGTCAGTGTCACTACAGCTGTCCAACTGCCTGTTGCAGCTTTGTGCCAAAGCTTCAGCTAGCCTGTTTTCACTTAGTTCAGAAGAATCGTGTGCTCCCACTGAGAATGTGGATGCAGGTAAAGACTTTGACTAAAAGGACAAAGTTGAGGCTTAAAAGGGAATGAATTGAGTTGTTTGGATGGTCTTGAAGTTCTGTATTCCCTTTGCTACTTTGATGGTGTTGGAGCCGAGATCTTTCTGGAATATGCAATCAAAATAGTTTAGATTGGAAGGAACCTTTGAAAGTCATCTGGTTCAACCCCTCTGCAGTGAGCAGGGACATCTTCAATGAGATCAGCTTGCTCAGGGCCCCATACAGCCTGACTTTCAATGTTTCCTGGGATGGGGCAGCCACAGTTTCTCTGGGTAACCTGTGCCAGTGTTTTACCACCCTTGCTGTAAATAACTTCTACCTTATATCTAATCTAAGTCAATCTTTTCCTGGTTTAAAGCCATTACCCCATGTTCTATCATAACAGGTCCTGCTAAAAAGTTCTTCCCACTGTTCTCTTCTGTTTGAAGCAGGAGATTTTCTGCTGGTTGCAAGTTGAGGATTACTGAGAGTGCCTGAGAGTTATTTGGGTGAGAAGGCACATGCAAGTTCCTTCTTGTTCAGGCTAGCAGTGGAAGTTACAGCACACATGAAATGTACAACAAATGACTCCTTGTAGTGCCATGCTATTTTCAAACTTCTTGCTGTTCATGTGATGAAAGTTTAAAATTAGTTGTGTTTCAGACTGAAACAGTTTGATTGTCAAGCCTACCTTTAACATATCAGGAAAGGGATATGGAAAACCTCTAAGTGTCAAGTATCTCCTGAGTAACAGTTCCCCAGGAAAGCTGTTTGACTGCTGATCTTTTAGTACATGTATTTTTCTCAAGCTCATTATTTGGAGGACACCAAGTAACTCAAGCCTATTAAGGCCTGCTTGTTCTGTCAGTGATTAGTGAGCGTAATCTGTTCTTGGCTTCTTTAGAAAAATTCTTTATGGATTCTAATCTAGGTTACTATGGCTAGTTAGATTTCAAAGAACAGCTTTCCTTGAACGGGCTACCTTCTGAACCTTTTATCTGGTGTTCTGCAAATAGTGTAGTTTATTCAGGACTGATTGATCTGAGTGTAGCAAATTATTATTGTAAACAGTAGCAGTGCAGCCCAGAAATGAGTATCTTGATTTTATTTATAACTTTTGGACCTTTCTTTGTGGTAAACTGTTTAGATGGCAGACTGTGTAGGCAAGTGTGAGTGTTGGAGTACAGAGGTGGGTGTGTGAACCTGCAAATGACAAATGAGTATCTTGTTACTGGGTCACAATCCCTTTCCACTTGCAGGTGCCTCTAAGGACTTGTCCTTTTGCCTGTGGGAAACATTCTGGCAGTAAGGCAAGACTGTGGGAATTTGGCTAATTTGTACTTACATGGTTGGAATGCAGCCAATTGTCACTTAGCTCTCCACTCATTGCATCTCCATTTCACTATTGTCTTTCTAGCCGGAGCTCTTCAGAGTGGCTTGAGACACTGAACGTGATAAGAAATGCTCAGCTATATTAAAAGCAGTTGCTAAAGCTTTACAGTGACCACCGCTGAGTGTGCTCTGCCTGACTCCTCTCTTCTTGCTTTGTGCAGGAGTTTATTTCTGGGTGAAGAATGCAGACTATAAAGTGCGTGGTGGTCGGAGATGGCGCCGTGGGAAAAACTTGTCTCCTCATCAGCTACACCACCAACGCCTTCCCAGAAGAGTACATCCCCACTGTGTTTGACAACTACAGTGCCCAGATGACCGTGGATGGGCGGACAGTCAGCCTGAATCTCTGGGACACTGCGGGCCAGGAGGAGTACGACCGCCTGCGCACGCTCTCCTACCCCCAAACCAACGTCTTCATCATCTGCTTCTCCATTGGCAGCCCCTCTTCCTATGCCAACGTGAGGCACAAGTGGCACCCTGAAGTTTCTCACCACTGTCCAAATGTCCCCATCCTTTTAGTGGGCACGAAGAGAGACTTGAGAAGTGACCTGGAAACGGTTAAAAAGTTGAAGGAGCAGAGCTTGGCTCCCACTACTCCGCAGCAGGGGACTTCACTGGCTAAACAAATTGGAGCAGTAAAATATTTGGAGTGCTCGGCATTGAATCAGGAGGGTGTTCGGGAGGTGTTTGCTGAAGCTGTCCGTGCAGTTCTGTATCCTGTGACAAAGAAGAACACAAGAAAATGTGTCTTGTTGTAGTTGCCTTGGGTGATGGATGTTGGAAGTTGACTAGAATCTTGGAGGGCTTTTTAACGAGTTAAGTTGAAGATTTGCATCTTGCACTAACAGCTCTAAGCAGAAAAGGTTTATACAATGAATATTCCTGCAGTCTTACTGCTTCAGGGAAAGTGAGAACAGGTTTTTTTTTTCTGACTGAGAGGTCAAATACCTACTAAAGTTCCAGTCTCCAGCTTCTCCAGGGATCACTTCGTTATTTTAGTGGAGGAAAATAAGAGGAGACCTCTTTGAAGCCACTTCTTTACTAGCTAGCCATCAGTTACTAGACTTGCTAAAAAGCACAAATTCTGATAACTTTGCTTTAAGTGTAGCTGCTGCTTTTCCCATCCTTTATTTACTGATTGAATTTGTTTTACAAACAGAAGTCTGGCTGTCCAGTTGTTTTGTCAATTTTAAGCTTGAAAACAATTTGTTTACTTGCAAAAATGCCTGAACTATTACTGAGATTCACCTTGTAGTGAACTGTGATTGATTGTATCAAGAGTTAGCATTAGGCATGGTTAATGCAATGAGCAAGACCAAGGGAATACCTGCAATGATTTATTAATAGAAGCAGGAGCTGATTTCTCCTATGTAAGGAACTTAGAATAATGATGACTCACTCAAATGAGTGATTTTCATAGTTTTGAGGTGGAGAAGTGGAAGAGTAGTTTAGATTCAAGTCTTCCATAATCTTCTAAACTGAGATTTTATTTCACTGTCCAAAGAGATGTTGCACCCTGGGAATAAACTTTTGACAATTACCTTCTCAGGTTGACTGAGGTATTTGGGATGACACTTCTCAAAATGAGATTTTCATTGTAATCCCTTTGATGAATCCCAGAGACTTGACAGCAGCCTGTTTGCTCTTGAGGAATTAATTGGTTCAATTCCTAATATTCTTGGGGCCACCATCTGAGATTTTTATGGCAAATTCCTTCATTGTTTTTCTGTGAGAAGACTGACAGAAAATTTGGAGGTTCTGTTTACATGAACCCCTGTTTCTTCCTATTTTCAGTTCAGTCTGTAATGGTTAGCCAGTCACTGGATAGGATTACCTGGGCGTTTTTTTCCTCTCCTGGATACTCAGTTATTATAAACTCTTTTTAACTGAAGTTCTATTTACATACTTCGTAATTTTCTTTAGCAGCTCCAGTAAGTGGCAGCTGCCTTTTATTTTCAGGATGTGCACTGTTCTTTATGTGTGGTTCCGGGACCAGCTGAGGAGTGAGCACATGAGCCCTTCCTTAGACTCAACCTTCCAGCTCCGTGGTATGAAAGCAGCATGCTTCAAAGATACTTTGTGTGAAACCACTGGTGCTGCACTGGGCTTTGTTGTCTGAAGTTGACAGTGCTGTCTTTGTCTGGCTGCAGCCTCAATTGGTCATTCAGAACTTGCTTTTTTTTGTGATTCCCACACATGCAAAACTGCACTGGTGTATACCCTGGTCAGAAAAAAAAGTGCCTCATTTTAGCAAGATAACCTTGTTGATGTATTTTCTGTTATTAGGGATCTTGTGTTAATTTGACCTTGCTTTATCTGATGCTGGCAGAAATACCATGTGGATGGAAACATTTGCAATTGTGTCCTAATTCCACTATTTGAAAAGGATGTGCCTTTCTTCAGCTGGTGTAACTGATGCTGACACTAACTGCAGTTTTTTTAACCTGAGACATGCTCGTTTTGGTACTGCTTTAGCCAATTGCAACCCACAGATTATAAATTGCCATTAATCCAAATACTGGTGCCTGTGGTTGGTGAACTGACACAGAGTTCCAAAGGCTGAGCACAGGCAGCACCAAAACACCCGTTCTGCAGGATGCTTGCAGAAGCCAACAGACTCTGCACATTTTTCTTCACCAAGTGCCATTGTCTGGAGTGTCTTCGTGTCTCTTGCAGTTGCAGAGGAAGTCCTGTTCCAGATGTGGTCCTGCCGTGAAGGCTGTGAGGGTGTAGAGAATTCACTGAGATAACCTCTACTCACCATGTTCTGCCTTTGCTTTAGCTGTAGGCCTTTAGTGTGGGCTGGGCTTGCAGGCAGCAATTAACTCTGTGCCTTGTAATTCAAGATTATTTTCTGTAGGTAAATTTCAGTAACTGAGTAAATAGACTTTATCATGTTTAAAATGTATTTATTTAAGCCAGTGCACATGGTTTGTTTTAATGCTGGTCAGACCTAAATCAACTGTCTAATGACCCCGGTGCAAGCCCATAACCTTTGCTTTATTCAGAAATGTACTTTTGAAAATCTGTGATATGTTTGAACTAGTCTTAAGAGGTGCCTGAAATTAAAATTCTACCTTTTTTTTTTTTTTTTTTGGCCACATATATTTGCAGTTTTGTACTGAAGCTACTACTGTTTTTAAAAAGTTTTAACTTTTTTACATACTGAAATCTTTTAATCCTGTGCCTTTTTGTGGTTATTCCTAACTGAATTACATGAATTTTGTGGAGAAGAAATCTTGTGAACAAGTATTATTGCACAACTTCTCCATTTATGTAGGCTCAAGCAGCCATCCTGGAGTGGACTGGAAGAGAGTGTAGTGAGATAAAATTCAACTACTTAATCAATTTATTTGATTTGGTTACACTATTGATTACATTATGCCAGAACACCCTATCCCCACTTAGATTACTTAGCAAATGGATTGCACAACAGTGCTGAGGAGAATAACAGGATAGTGATGAAAATGATCAGAGGGAACTTTGAACCATCAAAGACTTTTTACTCACTTTGGAGAACGGGTTATTTAAATGCTGTGTATTTCTGTCACCCTCTGATGGGAGTAAAACTCCTGGCTAGTAGCTGGTTTCCTCCAGCCTCTGCTTTTCATGAGGGTGAGCTTCAGGACAAATCCAGCGAGCTTTTCTTTTCAGTGGGCATTCTCCTTTCTTGATCCTTTCCCCCCACCTTGGAATTCTTGGTCCTTTTTTTTAAGTAGTCCAGTGCTTCAGTTTACAATCAGTTCTGTTTCTTCCATACTTTATTTTTCTTCTGTGGGCAGTTGAACAATACAGACTTCACATAATCCCATGGCTGGATTTTGTCTTGCTTTGGCAGGTCAGAAAACTCAGTGTGGGTTTCCTGAACAGTTGAAGGTCCTTCGGTTTCTTATTGAATCGAGATGCAATGCGTATGCCTTAATTCACAGAAGAGACTCAGTGTGAAGATACAGATTTTAACCTTTGCTTTGTGAATGATTTCTGAACTGCTTGGCTTTTTTTTTTTTGTTTTTTTTTTTTTTTTAAATGCAGCTGAAGCTGAGCAGTTCAGGAATTGTGTGTCCAAAGGATATCGATGAGGTGTGCTTAGATTTGGAAGTTCTTTCTTCAGTTTACAGCTGTAGCTATTTCTATGAAATTTAAAATAGAAGAACCTCCCTGTGCTTTGTCTCCGGGTGCTAAACCTCACTCTGTAGAAACCTTGGTGCTGCTTGGCCCGATCCCGAGAAGTGGATGGATCTCAGAGGGGTCCCAACCCCCAGAGTGGGCAGCAAAGACTACCCATCAGCAGTAGGAGCCCAAGACTCTGAAGTGTGGTACTGATACATACACTGGCAACGTGATTTTATGCTATAAAATAATTTGTATTACACCTAACAGTTTTAAAGGATTTTTCCTCTTTTTTGTTTAATAAATGATGCATAATTACATGGTAATAAACCTTTCCTCACCTGTCCGTCTGTCGCGTTAAGTCGCCCTGCTGTTAGTGCCGCAGCTGTGCTGGAGGCGGCTCTTTCCTGAGGGGAGCCGGGCCCGGTTCTGGAGGCCATGAGGGAATTTTGGGGCAGCGCGGGGGCGGAGCTCCGCGGGGCGGGGCCGCGCGGGGGCGCTGTGGGGGCGCCGCTCCCGCCGGGGCCGCTCCCGCCGCCGCTTCCGGCTCCGCCTCGGTGCCGCTGCCGCGATGTCGGACTCGGAGAGCGAGGAGGAGGCGGACGGCGGCCGCGCCGAGCCCTTCTCCCTGGCCGGCTTCCTCTTCGGCAACATCAATGAGGCGGGGCAGCTGGAAGGGGACAGCGTCCTCGACAAGGTATGGCCGTGTGCTCCGGGAAGGCACCACGGGCGGAGGGACGGCCGTGGTGAACCGGGGTGCTTGGGGCGACCTGGGCTGTATCGGGGTGTGCTGGGGTGAAACGAGGGTGACCCGGTTTGTGCCGGGATATGCCGGGCTCTGCTGGGGTGGACTGGGATGCACCGAGGTGCTCGGGGTGTCCCGGGCTGTCCCGTGATCGGCCGGGCTGTCCCGGGGCTGCTCGGGGCGGGCTCGGGGGCAGGACCCGGCCGGAGCCTCCCAGCTCGGGTCTCCCCAGGAATCCAAGAAGCACCTGGCCGGGCTGGGCGTGCTGGGGCTGGGCAACCTCATCACCGAGATCACCGCCAGCGAGGAGGAGAGCGCCGAGAGCGAGGGAGCGCACCTGGACGAGGAAGGTTTGGCGCTGGGGGGCAGAGGGGCTGCGGGGTCGCGGCTCTGGCCGGAGAGAACGAAACGCTCGAGGTCTGCAGGGTCTGCAGGGGATTTCGTGCTGGTCTCCGGTCAGAGGTCCTCTGTCAAAGGCCTTCCCTTCTCCACCTTGCCAAATAGAATGCCACAGCAGGTCCTGATCAATTTTGTACCTGTTTCCTTTAAGTTTTTAGAAGTATTTTATCTTTCACTTGTTTCTCCTCCTTCATAAATGAGTTTAGTCTGTATTTGTATTAAAGAAGCCCACTTAGCACACAGTATAATAATATCTCTTTCTGAACTTGTTGAACAGTTTCCATGAGTAAGTGATAAGTGCTCCTTGTGCTACATTTGGTTGCTTACTAGTCTTTTACGGGAAATTCAGAGCCATGAGAGCTTTTGATTAGAATGAGGGGGGGGAAAGTACTCTGATGGCAGATGCTAATCAGATAGTTTTGTTTGTTTCAATAAAGGAGGTATAGAAAAGGATTCATAAGTACCTAGTGAAGTCTGATGTAACTAATATAAATTAGGATAAAGTTTTGTGTTTCTCCTAGGCTGGGTTAAGAGCACAGAGGACGCTGTTGATTACTCAGACATCACTGAAGTGGCAGAGGATGAGAGCCGTCGGTACAAGCAGGCGATGGGCAGCCTGCAGCCAGGTCGGAGGCCAGGTAAAGGGGACAGCATTGCAGCACTGCCTGAAGGAGCTGTTCTGGGGCTTTGTGCTTTTTAACTTCTTGCTTCAAGAGCCCAGTATCAGCTTTTGTGAAACTGTCTTCACTGGATGAAGCCACTACTTGCTGTCTTCCTCTTTTAAGGAATCTGTTCCTCATTGGAGTCACTAGTATCTCTCTCCTGTTTTACTCCTGAATTTTTTTTAAAGACTCTGCAGAAGGTAACTTGGTTCTTTTGTTAGTCCCAGGTATCTCTGTCTGTATTCTGGCCTAGAATATGCTTTCAAAAACAAGCAGCTTTTCCATTTCAGCAGCTGGTGGTGTAAATGCTACATCTTGGCATATTCTTTAAAGACACTTAACTTTTCTGGTGACTTTCTGCGGTTAGTGAGATACGAAGGTGATTTGGACTTTTTAACCCACGTTTTCTTTATTTGTTCTACAAAGAGTGAATAAAAGGATGTGATAGTAGAATATATAAACTCATAAGCAAGTTGTAAATAAAAGGAGGTCATAGCAGAATGTATACATACGCATAGATTTTAAGTGCTTCAGTCATCTTTCTGTCAGTTTCTTTTTGTCCTTCCTTCCTAGTATTTTTTAAATTTACATCTTGCAAATGAGTTTCTGCAGGAAGCTGAGCTGCTAAGAGTTTTTATCTAGTTACAAGATGAGAATGGTGTCTATGCCATCAGGTTTGAAACAGAGTAAATGGAAAGGGTGCCTGGTTTTGTTTTATCATCTGCTTCACATGTGGTGTTGTCTCCTGTCTGGTCAGATGAAGATGAGGATGATTATGATGCTGACTGTGAAGACATTGATTCCAAGCTGATGCCACCACCACCACCACCTCCAGTACCTGGAAAAAAAGAAGATGAAAAGGATGCAGCTGCCATTGGTGAGTGAGGACTTTCTTCTTCTCTCTGGCAATGTGAATGTCTGAAGGAAGCAAACGTCCCTGTGTAGCAGTTCTGCGGCACCACGCATCATCAAAACTCGGTCTGCGTCTGAAGGTGAGTGTTTGTGGTGTTGCAGGATTGGCTGAAGTCTAGGGTGAAGTGTTGTATTTCCAGTGACTGTTGAAATACCCGTATTGACAATGAAACTGTTTTTTTGTCTCATCCTCTCAGTTGTGGCTGGGGAATTCACCTGGAACGCTTAGGATAAAATGAAAGGTTAAACCAGAATGGTACTTAGAATGCCTGCACAGGCTTAATAACTCGCATAACTTCATATAAACAGTAACTGTGGCACTGTGGGGTTATGCTAGGGGAGAGGGAGGAGACCTGTTTGTTTATGAGGTGCTTGTTCTATTGTAGTATCTGAAGATGGAGACGGTATCATTTTGCCCTCCATCATTGCTCCTTCCTCTGCTGCCTCTGACAAGGTGGATTTCAGCAGCAGCTCTGATTCTGAGTCAGAGATGGGACCTCAAGAAGCCAGGCAGGCAGAATCCAAGGAAGGCAAACTCACACTTCCTCTTGCAGGAATCATGCAGCGAGATGCTACCAAACAGTTGCCAAGTGTTACAGAGCTCTTCCCAGAATTTCGACCAGGCAAGGTATTGTAAGAGATATGTGGAAGAGATGTGTGTGTCATGTAAGCTCTCTAAATATGCATTGTACAGTGTTCAGGGGTATGTACTCAGTAATCACATAGATGTTCTTGCTCACTCAATACTTTCTTTAGTTTCTGTTTGCTGCTGTTTCCAGACTGATTTTATCTAGTAATTTTCCTGCCATTTGCAGGAATCTCTTAAAAAGCATTCTATAAATCAGGGTGTGAATGTTTTGCTGACCATAGCAAAGGCCTATTGGTTTGATTCTTTTGCCAGATGATTAAAAAACAGTGCTAATCTATCTGCTTCCTGGCTTTTCTGGTAAATACTTGCTCCTCCTTTTATGCTGTCCTGAACTTGGTGTGCTTTTCCTGTAACAGTTTGTGATCTGTTTCTTTACTTAATTCTCTCTTGAAACTGCTCTGAGCATAAATTAGAAATAGCCTGAAAGCAAATTGGTTCAAAGGCTGGTTGGGTTTTGCACAAAGTGAATTCATTACAATTCTTTCCTAAATGCTCCCAAATAGAAAATGCAACTTATATATTTCAGTAATTATTCTGGAAGTTTTAAAGCTGTCAAGAAGAAAGGATAGGTAGGAGGAGAAGGACAATGAAAATGGGTTTATAGTTGTCAAACAGATAGTTGTGGACAAAAATAACTTGGTTTTATGTATGCCTCAGAGAGTTTGTGTAAGGATCTGTATAATTTGCATAATTAAGTGTTTTAATTATTCAGCTGGACACTGTCTATTGTAATCTAGGTGAGGCTCTAACACAGAAGTTTCCCTTCTCAATGTTTTCTAGACTTTGGAAACTTGGTGTTTCCTGTATATCAGTTGGTGTGTTCATTCCTTTGATGCTGAACACGAAGTATCAGAGACTGGCTCAGTGCTGGGTGCAGAAAGTGCTGAGCACTTTCCAAGATTAATTCATGAGCAATAGAGCTGACAAAGCCTAAAGCCCTGTAGATTTTGCTATGAGAATGGGTTGATGTTAATATAGCATTGTATTTTTGGATGAAACCTCCTAAAATTGCACGTGCAGAAGCAAACTTTTGTGTTCATTTGACCTATTAGCAGCTTAATTATGTCTGAAACCTTTGCTCTTCATGACAGGTCATTGAAACCGGATAAAGGGTTTGTAAAGAATCTGTGTGAGTTTTGGAAAGAAGGTTTACATGGGTATAGGCAGAGGTGGACAGAGTGGTCATATAAACATTTCCTTTGGGGATCAGTGTAACAGATTAACAGAGAACATGAATAGGATATATCTGCAAAATCTTTGGTTCTAACTCCTGTTTCCTAAATATGTCAGTTAATTTAGAAATAATGTTTTACCTCTTTGAAAGAGTTCTTAGAAGAAAATAAATGTAAATGTTTAAAAAACAGCAATCATACCTATAGACAGAACAGGAGAGAAAATGTGTCATTACCATCAGTGCAGGTTTTGGAGGTGTGCAGTGCAGAGGAACTACATTATAATGGAAATAAAAATAAGTGTGTTATTTCTGGGCCATATTATTTATCTGTTTGCTTAAGAAATCTCTATATAACTCTCTTTAAGCTTGTCTCTTTTGCTGATAATTTTTATCAACTCTTCTTCAACCTCCATCTGTCTTTCTGAAGATTGTGGATTGTTCAGAATGAAAATCAATTACTTCCAGGTGGTATCTAACCACATGTCCAATATGTAAAGGCAGTCTTTCTTCCCTCTGACTTTCTCTGTGTCTGAAATTAAGAATATATCCTTTTGAAAAGGAGGGGGTCCATCAAACAGAAGGATCAGAAACTTTTTTTTTGAGTATGACCAAGAGGTTGTTGATTGCACTGGGAGCTGGGGTTGTACCACATGCCGAGCTTCTGAATTTCAGAGTGCTCTCTTACATTACTGTTCTTCAGGTGAGAGCAAGCATTCCACAATGTCTGTTTTAATTTGATCCTCTTGTTTTCTCATGTTGGTGTTCAGGTGCTGCGTTTCCTGCGACTCTTTGGCCCTGGGAAGAA